GGGGTGTGGTTGAAGAAGGGGGTGTGATGAGTGAGGGAACGGGGTGTGGTTGGCGACGGGGGCGTGGCTAGTGAAAAGGGGCGTGGTTGGAGAAGGGGCGTGGCTAGTGAAAGAGGTGTGGTCGGAGGAAGGGATGGGGCTGGGTGCCCTCCCAGTCGGCGATTTCAGCCCGTGCAGCCATCCTTCCCCAGCGTAACTCAGAGCAGCCCCCGGGCTCCTGCGTGGGGCCCACCTACCTTGGGCAGCGTGTAGCCGCGGAACTGAATGTCCCGGGTGACGGTGTGGGGCACGCCCATGGGGACGATGTCCGCGAAGCGCTGGATCTCGTGAATGACGGCGTCGGTGTAGGGCATCCGGCTCCGGTCCTCCATGCAGGGGCTGCGGTGGGGGCCGATCACCCGGTCGATCTCCTCGTGCAGCTTCTCTGGAGGGAAGGGGGCAGGGTCAGGCCGGCGCAGGGGCGGCACCCGCCATAAAGCCCCCAGGGCCAGGAGCCTCACCGGTGTTGATCCACATCACTTAACTGCAGCCTGCAGAGACGTCAGCGGGGGAACCCGGCCTCCCCTGGACGCCAGCTCAGATCCGCCCCATTGACTCCCCCGGAGCTCGGGCTGGGGACATTTGACCAGCAACTCTCTTTGGGTGAGTTACGAACGTGAGCCCCTCCTGCCCCCGTCTGCCCCCCGCCTACGTTGGGATACTCCCGGCCTCTGGGAATTCTTCACCCCCTGCCCCGGGGCTACCTTCTATCTCAGGGTGTCGCAGTAAGATGCGGAGCCCGTATCTCAAGGTGGAGCTGACGGTCTCCGTCCCGGCGAAGAACAGGTTGACGGTGGTTTTCGACATCGTCTCGTCGTTAAAGTGTGTGTTGGGGTTGTGCTTTTCCTGCGGAGGAAGGGTGCGAGAACGTTTAGTGTGTGTGTGTGTGAGACACCACCACGTACTAGGATTCTCTCTGGGGTGTGTGACCCCACTGGGGGAGATTTCCTACAGTTAGGTGAAACTTTTATTCGGCAAACAGGCCGCCCGGAAGCACCCGGCCACTTTGCATCGATTTCGCCACGTGGGGCGTTAAAAGAACATTGGAGGGGGAAAGTCGCCACGTTTCGTTCGTTTTGGTTTGAAACAACTTTGTTTCAGCTTGTCCTTTAATTTTCGGAAGGAAAAAACATGTAAAGTGTTTGACGGTCAAAATCCAAATGAAAGGAAAATGTTCCCGACTTTTCGATTTGGCAAGAAGTTTCAATTCTTTTCCTCGTGATTTCTGGAGATCTGGGTTCTGGCGTGTGAGCGGCGTGACAGGAGGAGCTCTCCCTCTGCATCCCAGCTGACCTGCTCAGCGGTGCTATTGATGGATCAGTTGTAAAATCGAGGGCCTCTTGACTAGAGATGGACAATTCCTCCCCCCACCCTCCCACCCTCGGCAAATAGTGCCTTTTCGGAGCACCAGAACTGTTTGCAAATTTAGGTTGAATCCAGCAAATAGTTTCGGCCAAAAACAATAAGATTTTTTTTCCAGAAAAGGTTGAAACGGTTCATTTCAGCTGGTTCAGAACGGCTCACTTCGATTTTTCATTTCAAAATGGAGTTTCATTGAAAAAAAGAAAAGAAAAGACAAAAACTCCTGAAAATGTCCTGACACTACATGAAAAAAATAGCAATAAAAATGGTTTGGGGTTGAATGAAACATTCAGTTTGACCCGAAACAATTTTTTTTTGTTTCAGCAAGAACAATCTTTAAAAAATCCAGTTTTGGTTTGAACCAAACCAAATTTCTTGTCTTGGTTCGGGCCCTGAACCAACCGTCAGCTCTGCTCTTCATGGCTTGTGCTCGTGAAAGATCAACTGACGTTGTCTTGCAAGTATTTTGCGACCACAGCGACTTGTCAGATTCCAACTCAGACAATTCTGTGCAGCCTGTTGCCATCCCCCGGGTGCATGGAGTTTGTCTCTTTCCTCACCCCCCACCCCCAATCCCTTTTTAAATCTACCAATTCTTTCAAATGAAGGGGGAAAGGGCCAGCAAACCCCAAAGAGTTTTTAATCCCCCCCCCAGCCTATCCAAAAAATAGTGTGGGAGCTTCATAACTCATGTCCCCCTGCGACTCCACTAAATTAGGAACGTAGAACTAGAAGGAACAATTAGGAACCTAAGTCCCCTGCTATGAAATTCACCCGCCTCTACTTCAAATCCAACCCACGTGAAATCACAGAAATCACAGAATCACAGGGTTGGAAGGGACCTCAGTAGGTCATCTAGTCCAACCCCCTGCTCAAAGCAGGACCAATCCCCAGACAGATTTTTGCTCCAGATCCCTAAATGGCCCCCTCAAGGATTGAACTCACAACCCTGGGTTTAGCAGGCCAATGCTCAAACCAAATCATAGAATCATAGAAGATCAGGGTGGGAAGGGACCTCAGGCGGTATCTAGTCCAACCCCCTGCTCAAAGCAGGACCAATCCCCAGACAGATTTTTGCCCCTGGAGGAAAATGCATGCTGGCACCCTCTTTTGGCTGATCCAGCGAGAGGATAACAGCTTACTACTGCAGCCAAAGAATGGGATTGCCCCCGCGCTCAAGCGGTGGAATTCTGGGCTTTGGGGCCGGGTTCAAGGGGTGTGACCGGCAGGCGCTAGTTTTCCGCGAGCAGCACCCTTTTTGCTACTGTTCGGGCTGGGGCCAGCTCGGGGGCTCTCCTGCTGGCCAGGACGGGCTACCTGCTGGATTTTGATGAGGAAGCAGTCGATGAAATCCCGCGGGTTGTTGGGATCCAGGAGCTCTTTATGCATCTTCAGCTGCTCGCCGACGAAAGCGGCCAGCTTCAGGTAGTTCTTGTAGATTTGCCTGTGGGGCCCGGGGACGTGTCTCATGATCTTGGGGAACGTGAACAGCAACTGGAAAGAAGCCGGGGGGAGGGACAGAACTGTTAGTGGCTCTGTTCTCCCGGGACACAGCCAGGGACTGTGTTCCCCTCTAGGGACAGCAGCGGGGTGTAGATCTCAGACCGGCCCTCGGCTTGAGGACTCATGAGCATGGCTGGTCTGGCCAAATCTTGATCAAGGGCTTCTGGGCAGAATGGACTGGGGCAGAGTAGGGGTAGGGTGGTCGTGCGACCATGCTATGGGGCAGGAATGAGACTGGAATCCTGTATCCAGCCTGGGCTCCGCCCTGCAAACAAGACGTTGAGGAATTGGAGAGGGGTTCAGAGGAAGACGACTCGCGGGCGGTCTGGAAAACCTGCCTCACAGCACGAGGAAGCGCCATGTCTATTTAGCTTCTCCAAGAAGCATGGTCCATACGTACCTCCAGGGGGAGGAGATTTCGGACAGCCGAGGTCTCTAATCTAGCAACAAAGGCTGAGTGAAATCTAAAGGCTGGGGGCTGAAGGCAGAGAAATTCAGACAGGAAATAAAGAGCAAACATTTAATTGTGAGGGCGATTAGCCCTGCGGATGGGCTGGTGTCTCTGTCATGGCAGCCCTGAAAGACACGGGCTAGCTCACCCATCAGATATGGGCTGGAGGCAGGAATTGTCGAGTGAGGTTCTCAGGGCTGTATGGTGGTCTAGGAGAGGAGGCCCCCCCGACCCCGTTCTGAATCCTCTCTCACCTGTCCCCAGGTGGAGCTCATGAGTTTCCAGTTGCTGTTGATCAAGTTGAGCAGGGTGAGGAACTTCTCGTCGGTGTATTCGAAACGCTCCCCGAAGACCAGGGTGCAGATGATGTTGGAGCCGGCGCAGCTCAGGAAGAAGGTGGGGTCGAAGGGTTTGCCTAGAGGGGAGAGCGAGGGCCTGCTGTTAATCCCAGGCCTTGTGGCCTCAGCCGTCTCCAGGGATCTCAAGGCACCGTAAATTAATTTAGCCGCACTTTTCCCTGGCAAGCAGGAGTTCTCACTGCCTGTCAGATGGGGGAAACTGAGGCACAGAGCGGGGCACTGACCCAGCCCAGGTCACAGAATGAGTGGAATGGAATCCGGCATTCCCGACTCCCTGCTTGACCCAGTAGGTGACAAGCTATACCCAGACACAGAACCCAGGAGTCCTAGGTGCCTCCCCCTGCTCTAACCACTAGACCCCATGCCCCTCCCAAAGCTGGGATAGAACCCGGGCGTCCTGGCTCCCCCCCACCCGCCAAAGAACCTAATTGGGTTTGTGCAGACTGGAGGCAGAGCCCCAGTGTTCGGATCAGGACGCAATGTTTGGATCCTGGATCTCTGGATATCCTGGTCACTGCCCCTCCCCCCCGGCTCATCCGTGAACGGAGCCGAACCTTCTGTTTTCCGGAACTCGGACACCAGGTACTGGGCCTCCTCCTTGATCCGCTCCTCCATGCTCCGCTTCCCCATGCCGAAGTTCTTGAAGGTGGTGATGGCAAATCGGCGCAGCTGCCGCCACCGCTCCCCGGTGCCGTAGACAATCCCTGTGCAAAGGAAATTCAGTGCTGATCATTGCAAAAGTAACACACAGTGGACAGCGTGATCCCAGCTCTCCATACACAACGATCGGGTCTCAATGGGTGTTACCGCGCAAGACAGAGATCTTGGCGGCACTGTGGAGAGTTCTCTGAAAACATCCACCCGATGTGCAGCGGCATCAAAAAAGCGAACAGGATGCTGGGAAACATCAAGAAAGGGAGAGATCATAGGACAGAAAATCTCATGTTGCCTCTATATAAATCCATGGTATGTCCACAGCTTGAATCCTGCGTGCAGATGTGGTCGCCCCATCTCCAAAAAGATCTATTGGAATTGGAAAAGGTTCAGAGAAGGGCAATAGAAATTCTTAGGGGCATGGAATGGCTGCCATATGAGGAGAGATTAATTAGACTGGGACTGTTCAGCTTGGAAAAGAGACGACTAAGGGGGGATATGCTAGAGGGCTATAAAATCATGACGGGTGTGGAGCAAGTGAATAGGGACGTGTTATTTACTCCTTCACTTAACAAGAACTGGGGGTGAAATAATTAATAATCATCAGGTTTAAAACAAACAAAAGGAAGGACTTCTGCACCCAACACGGACAACCGGTGGAACTCCTTGCCAGGGGATGTTGTGACGTATAACTGGGCTCAAAAAAAGAACTGGATCAGTTCCTGGAGGATAGATCCATCAACAGCTATTAGCCAAGGTGGTCAGGGACACAACCCCATGCTCTGGGTGGCCCTAAACCTCTGACGGCAGAGGCTGGGAGTGGACGCCAGGGGATGGGTCACTCGATAGCTGCCCTGTTCTGTTCATTCCCGCACCGGCGGCTGTCAGAGACAGGATACTGGACTAGACGGAGCATTGGTCTGACCTAGCCTGGCCATTCTTATGCACCACGCACTAGACACCACTCCTTTCTGTGACCTGGGGAGAGAACCCAGGCGTCCTGACTCCCGGCTCCAACTCACTGGACACCACTCCCCTTCCTGACCTGGGGAGAGAACCCAGGCGTCCTGACTCCCGGCCTCCCCCGCTCTAAGCACTAACGAGCGAGGTCTCTCCTAGGAAGGGGAAATGGACGGGAATCGACCATGATCGCTGCCCCGGGGTTTCACACCCGTCCGCGGTACGATTCCAGACCCTGCAATACGGCCAGGGGGCCAGGACACTGAGCTGTGTGTGTGTCCGTCCGCGCCTCACCGTTCCCGTGACTCCACATCTGCACTGCCGGGAAGTCTCCCCTGCCGCTGAACTCCTCGGCCTTATCGATCAGGGCTTCCTTCAGCACCTTGTACCCAGAGAGCACCACGCAGGGCCGGGAGCCCAGGTGAAAGGTGTAGATCGGGCCGTAGGTTTCGCTGAGCTGGAAGGGATAAAGGAAGGTGGCTGTTAACCCCCAGCTGCAAGGGTCAGTGCTCAGGGCGCGCGGCTGGGAGTCAGGACACCTGGGTTCTCTCCCTGGCTCTGGAAGGGGAGTGGGGTCTAGTGGTTAGAGCAGGGGGGGCTGGAAGCCAGGACTCCTGGGTTCTCTCCCCAGCTCTAGGAGGGGAGTGGGGGCTGGTGGTGAGAGCAGGGGGGCTGGGAGCCAGGACTCCT